GGCTGCCGTTTCCAGACGGGCTGGTGAAGCGCCCCTGTGCGCAGGGGTGCCGTCACAGTGGTGCAATAGGAAATGAGGTGGCCGAGCTCACCAGCAGGCAGGGGACTCTGGTGGCTTGCAGGTTTTCAGCTGTTGCCAGGCCCATGTATTTGTTAGGGTTTTTCCCCCCAGAAGAAGCACCGCACGGTTCACGCTGTAGTAGTAGCAGCCTCCAGTACCAAGGTAAAAGGGCCGTGAGCGCACCACAGCTGCCTGCGTGGAAGGAGCGCTCCCCATGCTGCTGCAGCCAGAGAAGTGGCCAGCACAGAGCTGAATCCACTGCAAGATAGGGGCTTTGATGCAGTCCCGGTACGCAGCCCTGAACTGCGGCTGACGGCCCAGCCTTTCACGGCCTACAGCTGCAGAAAGCAAAAGCTCTGGGGTCGCGATGGCCCTTCACATCAGGGCAGGTCTTACTCCGAGGCTGAAGGAGCATCTGTTGCTTACAGGCTCCTGCGTGGGCCAGTGTCTCTCTCCTCCTCCCTGTCACTTCTTGCTCCATTGAAAACAGGCTTGGTTCACGGGGTCTGCTCTGGGGATTGCACCAGAGGGTGGTTGTTCAAGGTTAATGTCCCATGGACGTTGCTCCTGTCTCTGGGGCTATTCGATGCTGCGAAGTTCTAAAAACCTCTTTAACTCCCTGTCAGGTGCCAGCGTCTGTCCTCTCCCTGTGTCTCAGTCCGCAATAGGATGTTCCCCCTTTCTCTCTTCTTACAAAAAGCAGGCGGTGGCAGGGTGCCCCTGGTCGTCTCTTGGAAATCTGCACAAGCGCCCAGCTCTGTGCTCCAGGCAAGGTTCAGAACTCCTGCCTGACGCTCCTGTGCGCCCAGGCAAGTGTTGCCTGCCATTAGGGCTTCGGAAATGTCTGTCCTGCCTAAGGAAAGCCTGCCTGTCGCCTGCGTGGAGCGGCTGCTCTCGCTGTGGGCCTCGCTCTGGTCGTTGTGTCTTTGCCTGCTTCCAGCCCATCCTGAGGCCCGGGACAGAGCAGCCTGGCTTGCTGGAGGGGAATAAATCCCATCTCGAGGGGTGGCACAGCCTTCCTCCCTTCTGCCTCCTCGCTGAGCGAAGCTCTGCTTGCTGAGCGCTGCTCCGTACCTCCCAGCACCCCTCCCGCTGCTGACCGGTTCCCAAACCTTCGCACCTCCTGGCACGCTCGCTGTGTTTTCCTTCATGCTGCTCCTTGGGGCTGCCCCCCTGCGATGGTTTGCTCCCGCAGAAGCCGTGGCGGGCTCCTGTGCTGGCGCTGCTGCGGGATGGAGTGCGGGTGCCCTGATCCGAGCCCAGGGCCAGCCTGGGACTCGTGGCTGGTGCCGGCCCCCTCGCCTGTGCCCCGCTCCTGCAGCACCGGCCATGCCCGGCCGTCCCCAAACCCCAGCTGGCACGTCGCTCGCTGCAGTGACCTTTGGGAAAAGTAAACAGCTTCCTGCAGGGAAGTGACTTTCTGCTGGTGTTGAGCAGAGCTCTGTGCCTTCGCTTCCTGAGCACAGCTTGCTGTCCCCTCGTTAGTGTTAGTTTGATTTCCATCAATACACAAGTCGCTAACTCGAAAATTGCTCCTTCCTTGTTTCTGTTGTTTCCTGGCAGTCTCCGCCTTCTGCACTTACTGTAAGCTCTGCAGCTCCTTCCCTGCCTCCCGGAGCAGAGGCAGGCATGCGTGCCTCTGGCCGGAGGGCGCCTGGAAGACATTGACACCAGGTTAAAGCCTTGTACCTCTCGCTGGTGACCTACATGCCCAAGACCCCTCTTTCCCCCTGTGGCAAGAAGGTAGGAAAGCTTTGGGAAACAGTGCCTCTCTCTAGGAGAAAGCTTTGCCCAAGGCAGGCACTTGGGAAGCGTGCTGTCATGCGGGGAAGCTTGGTGCTCACCAGGCTGAGGCCGGACAGATGGGAGCTCAGCTCCTGAAGCCGAGCCCAAAGCTGCGTTCCCTGTGCTTGGGGAGCTCCTGCGCAGCTTGGTGCGGGTCTGAGGGGTTTGATGGTGTTAGGAGCTGCCTACAACATAACTTTTAATGCTGGTCTGACCCCGTGGTGTGAGGAGCAGCGTGGAGTGAGGCTTCCTACCTGTCTGGGTTTGTAAGAGCGGCTGCGTCTGGCCCGACCTGCTCGGGACTGTGCCTCCCCGAGCCCTCGGGGTTTGTGGGCTGCGCGATCCTCTGCGGGGGGGAGAGGCTGAGGCTCAGCTCGGCAGCCAGGGCCTGCCTGCTGTGCTCCTGTAATCTGGTGCAAACGGCCACCGGCTGGCAGTGCCAGAGTGAGCTCTGCTCTTCTGATCTCCGATGTTTGAGATTAATTTCATGACATGTGGTGAAAAGAGAATGAGTCAGAATCCGGGCTTTATTCAGCTTTGCGGCTGGAGTGAAACCTTTCTGCTGCCGCTCTTCTCGGGAAGCTCGCCCGGGCAGGGGCAGGCCAGGCTGGGGGCGAAGCCGCCTTCCGCCCTCTCCTTCGGCTGGATTTCAAGTTGAGCTCTTGGGATGGAGTGGTGCTGCTGGGCCCTTGCTTCTTGGTGCTCTGGCTGCTTTGCCACTCGCCCTGCAGGCAGGCGAGGCTGTGTGGCCGCATCCTGTGCTGCCGGGGGCTCCAGGGCCGAGTGCCGGGGCGCAGATGTTGGCGGGTGTGAAAAGGGCTTTTCCCTCGCAGCCGGGCTGGTTCCTTCCCCGCCCCCCCCAGGCGTGCGTGCCGTTATTCCCACACTAATGATGCAGTTTCGGTCTGCGGTTCCACCTTCCCTTGACCCAGGCCTGCCTGTGGGCGATGGCAGCGGCGCCTGCCCTGCCAGCCCGAGCTGGCGGCCACTCTCGCCTTGCCCAGCCTGGAGGCGCGAACGGGTGCCAGCCCCAGGGCTCTCTCAACTGGTCTCGTGGCTGCTGGCTCAGGGCGGGTTTCGCTGAAGAGGAACCAGCTCCTGGGTGTGTGATCAGCTCCACGGGGACGCCAGGCCTAGGCTCATCCCTCGGGGTGCATTGGAGCTCTGCAGTGTCGTGGGCCCAGAGCCCGCACCCCACAGCTGCCCCGGCTCCGCGCTGCCCTTGGAGGGACGGGCACTACCCAGCCCTTGCCTGCACCAGCCCTCCCGGCGCTGCGTGCCCTGGGCTCACCGTGCCCCATCAGCCCTCCCCAGAGGGGAGCAGCGGTCGTGGCTGGGTCCCACCGAATGCCTGGCAGAAGGGAGCCTGGAGGCTGCTGGGTGCCAGCTCTGAGCAGCATGTGTCCCTGTCCCGCCAGGTCTCCGGAGCTGGCCAGGATGGCGCAGTGGAACCAGCTGCAGCAGCTCGACACGCGGTACCTGGAGCAGCTCCACCAGCTCTACAGCGACAGCTTTCCCATGGAGCTCCGGCAGTTCCTGGCCCCGTGGATTGAGAGCCAGGACTGGTAAGGCCTTGCGAAACGCTGGTGTGGGGACTTTGCTCGGGACACCCACCCTGGGGTGAGGGTCGGTGCTGAGGTGGTCTGGAGGAGCTCTGCTGCTTTCCCTGGGCTCTTGACGTGGCAGGATGGGTCCTCCTCCCCGAGGCTTGTGTGGCGCAAAGGGGAGCGGGACTCTGCACACGGTGTCAGACCCCGGATCAGGAGAAAGGGGAGCTCCCAAGCGGAGGTGTCCCCATGCAGGGCTGACTTACCTTGGCCTCTGTCGTAAACGAGGTTGACACAGAGCACCGATTCCTGGATCCCGTCCACAGAGCATGTGGGACTGGTGAGGTGCTCATGTGTGCTGTCTGCCTGGCTTAACGCCAGGCTTTAAGCCCGAGTCCAAAATCTCTCTGTCGCCCTGCCCTTGCGGGCACAGGCCAAGGGCTCAGTTTATTGGCCCGAAGCAAGTCAGGCCTGCTCTGGCCCTTGCTCTGGTGCAAGGTTAGGAAGACAGCTGGGGTGTTAAATTGCACGGGGGACGGCAGGCGTGAGCAGAGCTGCCTGCAGCGCTGCCTTGCCCCTTCCCCTGCGCTGGGCACCCAGGACCCTGCCCTCCCTCACGCAGGGCGTACGCTGCCAGCAAGGAGTCGCACGCCACGCTGGTGTTCCACAACCTGCTGGGGGAGATTGACCAGCAGTACAGCCGCTTCCTGCAGGAGTCCAACGTCTTGTACCAGCACAACCTGCGGCGCATCAAGCAGTTCCTGCAGGTGAGGTGGGAAGCGCTGGTTTGGTGCGGGGGCCGCGGTGGGAGCCCGTGGAAGTCCAACGGCTCCCTTGGCACGGCTCGTGACCCGCAGCCCTAAGGATGTGGAGATGCCGGGACTTAGATTGTGCCTGCTGACCTTGGGGGTTTGAACCTTTTACAGAGCAGATACTTGGAGAAGCCGATGGAAATAGCCCGCATCGTGGCTCGCTGCCTGTGGGAAGAGTCACGGCTCCTCCAGACAGCTGCCACCGCAGCCCAGGTAAGTGACTCGGATGTCCTGGGGCCACTGTCCTGCTGCCTGCCCGGCGGTGCTGTGCAGGTACTTGGTGCTTGCTTCCTTCAGTAACGATAGCTGTTTTGTGCTGAGGGATGCTCCTCCTGCTGCTAACTTCTGCTCTCCAGGCAGCAGCTGCTTCCCGCCAGGATGCAGCGTGGGCGCTCTCTGCCTGGGGTGGCTGTTAGCTTTGTGCATCTGTCTCTCTTCTCGCCCCTTGCGTGGGGCATGTCCCGCACCGTGCACCTTGCTGTGCAGCCCTGGAGCTAGCACTGCCAGCGAGCAACCAGCTGCGCTGGCTTTTGCTAGTGAGGGGGTCAAGACCCTTCCTGCAAAACCTCCTCAGGCTGGGAGAGGAGCATCCCTGCATCGTGGCCCTCTTCTAACGCCCTCCTTGTCCCCTCTGCAGCAAGGTGGACAGGCAACACATCCAACAGCAGCTGTAGTGACAGAAAAGCAGCAGATGCTGGAGCAGCATCTGCAGGATGTGAGGAAGAGGGTGCAGGTATGTGTGCTGCCTAGGCACCTTCTCCTTTCCCACTGCGGTGATTTAGTGCATTAAGGAAATCCACATCTCTTGCCTTGCAGGATCTGGAGCAGAAGATGAAAGTGGTGGAGAATCTCCAGGATGACTTTGATTTTAACTACAAGACTTTGAAAAGCCAAGGAGGTAATGGAAGCTCATTAGCAGCTGGCAAACCAAAGTGTGTTCCTGCAAGGAAACTTGCTGGCGGGCACGTTCCAGCCCTCCTGGTGCCTCTCCCAGCAAGAAGGGTGGCTTAGGCTCGGGACATTTGCATGGCAATTGCAGAAACCTTGTCTTTTGTTTCTGCCGCTGACACTGCCTCCAGGGGAGCTGAACCAGAGCTCTGCCTGTGAGCAGAGAAATGGCATGCGGAGGTGGTAGCTGTGCGTGCAGGAAAGCCAGCAAGGTGCTCAGAGGCTGTGCAGGATCGCTGCTTTCTAGGGTGCCTGCTCCTTTGCATTGGAAGTCTTCTGTTTGTGTGATGCTTGGGAGGGTGGGAGGCGTCCCTGTGTGTGGCTGCACATTTCTCACCTCTCTGCACAGACATGCAGGATCTGAATGGAAACAATCAGTCGGTGACCCGGCAGAAAATGCAGCAGCTGGAACAGATGCTCACGGCGCTGGACCAAATGCGAAGGGTACGTCGTGCAGCTGGCCTCCACATCCCCCTGGGGTGCCGTGGTGCCCTTTTTTGGGTTACGAGTTTGGTGTTCCTGCACGGCCAGGACTGAGAGCAGCACGGGAAACACAGCCCTGGGTGACTTCTTTCTTGTTTGTGAATGTGAAACTTGCAGATCTCCGAGGGAGTCCGAAGGTGTTGAAGGTTCTGCTTTCTTTTCTGACAGGGTATTGTGAGCGAGCTGGCTGGACTGCTGTCAGCCATGGAGTATGTGCAGAAGATGCTGGCAGATGAGGAACTGGCAGACTGGAAGAGACGGCAGCAGATTGCCTGCATTGGCGGCCCACCGAATATCTGCTTAGACCGGCTTGAGAATTGGTAGGAGCTGGCTGGGGCTTGCATCAGTCCCTAGAGAGGTGGCGTTCAGACACCTGCAGTGGGAATGAGCTCTTTGCCTCTGGAAATGTCCTTGCAAAATGGCTTCTGATGCCTGCAAGCATAAATGTAATCTGCTAGTCAGAGTGATCCTCGATCGTGGGCACTAGTGGAACGGTTAGCCCCAGGCCCGTGGGATTTTAAGGCTGCTGTGAGAAGTTCCTGTTCCTGGTGTGTGGAACTTGGGCGCGTGCAAGTTTTTCTTTTGTAATGTATGGCCTAGAATAACATACTGAGCTGGGAGAGACAGACAGGTTCTGTTCTCCACTGGTTTGGTACGGAGAGCGTCCTCTCACACAAGCGAGGGAAGAGGAGGGCTCTGCGGGCTGGGACTGTGTAGGGCTCGGCAGCCAGAGCTAACGCTGGTTCTTCCTGCTCCCCTAGGATAACCTCTCTTGCTGAATCACAGCTACAGACCCGACAGCAGATCAAGAAGTTGGAAGAACTGCAGCAGAAAGTGTCCTACAAGGGTGACCCGATTGTCCAACACCGGCCCATGCTGGAGGAGCGGATTGTGGAGCTGTTCAGGAACCTGATGAAAAGGTGCCGAGGGCTGGGAGGGAGCTGCGGGCAGTCCCTGCTCGCAGGCGGTGGGTGGAGGGGTGGGCAGGGAAGCGTGCTGGGCCAGGCCTGAGGCTTGACTGCGGTACTTGTGCCTTTCCCCCGCAGCGCTTTCGTCGTGGAGAGGCAGCCCTGCATGCCCATGCACCCCGACCGGCCCCTGGTCATCAAAACCGGCGTGCAGTTCACCACCAAAGTCAGGTGGGTCGCTGGCCCCTGAGATCCCACTGCGCCATGGGCATAGGAAAGGAGCCGTGCAGGGGAAGGCAAAGCAGGATCTCTCTCTGAAGGAGATGCTGGTGTGGATCCAGCCTCCTGCTTGCCTGGGGAGGGCTGGTGCTGGGAGGGAACGAATCCCAGTAGGCTGGCCCTGCTGGAGTACCGCCTGCATGACTCAGTGCAGGGATGGCGGCTGCTGGCTGAGGCTCTGACGCGTTCCTGGAGGCAGCCGGGATTCTGGTAAATCCCACTGTGGGGGCAGGCAGCAGGAAGAGTCAGCGTGTCCCTGGCCAGCTGAGAGGCAGCTGGCCTGTGTCCCCTGCCAGCCTCCACAGAGAGAGGCTGCTCCAACACCGGACTCTGCCTGGAGCTTGTTCACCATCTCCCAGCTGTGCTCCCATTGCCCCTTGGCCTGTGGCAGCATCTGGCCACAGAGCAGCGCAGAGGGTGTTTGTTCAGAGCAGATGCCTGCCTGCTGTGGGCAGTCAGCAGCCAAAGCGAGCCCTCCTTGGGGGGCTCAGGGAGCATCGGCGCTGGGGACGGGTGTTGGGCCTGACGTGCCACCGGCCCGCATGCAGGCAGGCTCAGGGATGCCAGAGGAGCTGGGTAATGCTGCGTCCCCGTGGGCTTTGTGGTGTGAACCCTGGTGCTGCCTGCTGGGGCGTGCACACAGCACTGCTGTCTGTCCAGCTGTTCTGCAGTCTGTGCCAGATGCTGCGTGGAACGGGAGTTGTTTGCCTGTGCAGGATGCTCACGCTCACACTCTGCCTCTGCTGGCTCTTTGCAGGTTGTTGGTCAAGTTTCCAGAGCTGAACTATCAGCTGAAAATTAAAGTCTGCATTGACAAGTGAGTTCTGTGCTCTGACCCTGGCAGCGTGCGGTGGGGTATCTGGAGTGGGATTTGTTCCTGCCGCCGTTGGGTCAGGCTCCATCCCTGCACCGAGGCCCAGCATGACCCCTGGGAGAAGGGGAGGGTGCGGGGTGGCACTGGGTCCCGAGGGCTTGTCCCTGTGTGGCAGGACAGCCTGGGGGGCTTGTGGCACTCGATGCTGTGATGCAGCCAGGCCCACACACCAGCTTGCCTGCATCACGGGGGGAAGGCGGCCATGGCCATGACCGAGTGTCTCTCTCCCCTTTCCTAGGGACTCCGGGGATGTTGCAGCACTTCGAGGGTAAGTGCAATGTTTGGGTTTTTGTGTTGGTCTCTTGGGTTTTGTTTTTTGGTTTTTTGTTTTGTTTTTTTTTTTCTTCTGCTTTTAATCCTGGCGAACATCCTACCGCACATTCGCTCCGAGAGGGCCCTGTCAGCCATGCTCTGTCTCTTCTCTTTTGAGGTCCCGGAAGTTTAACATCCTGGGGACAAACACCAAGGTCATGAACATGGAGGAGTCAAACAACGGCAGCCTCTCAGCAGAGTTCAAGCACCTGGTAGGTACTGTGAGCTCGTGGGCTGCTCCTGTTAAGGCTGTGTGCTGTCGCGGTGTTGCTTCAGCCTGTTCCATCTCTCTGCAGACCCTGCGGGAGCAGCGATGCGGTAACGGAGGCAGAGCCAACTGCGATGTAAGTGCTGGGGGGCACCTGGGTAGGAGAGCCCTTTGCTGACAGCTCTGCTCCCTGTTGAGCAGCTGAGCCATGAGGGGAAGTGGGAGCCCTGCGCCTTGAGGGGGTGTCCGCAGGCAGCCTCTGGTGTGTTGGCAGCTGCCAGACCAGCCCTCTCCACCCAGACCTGAGCGGCAGCGTTGGCCCTGATGGCCGGGTGTCAGGCTGAGGGCAGGCGTCTCCTGTGTGCTCATTGTGTCCCCTTCCACCCTAGGCCTCGTTGATAGTCACTGAGGAGCTGCACCTCATCACCTTCGAGACAGAGGTGTATCACCAGGGGCTGAAGATCGACCTGGAGGTGAGCTGTGGGTTACTGCCTGTTGCTGCCGTGGGCCTGGGTGCAGAGGAGCCCTGGGAGATGTCCCAGCCTGCGGCCACGTCCTGTCTTTGCAGACCCACTCGCTGCCTGTGGTGGTCATCTCCAACATCTGCCAGATGCCCAATGCCTGGGCGTCCATCCTGTGGTACAACATGCTGACCAACAACCCCAAGGTAGGGCCCAGCGCTGAGGGGATGGCTGGCAGAGCAGCAGTGCAGGCTTTGGGACCAGAGTGTCGCTGCAGGCAGGGAGAGGGAAGCTGTGGTCCAGCAGCAGGGTTGGGGCAGGACCTGGCCCTGCTCCTGTCCCATGTCTTGCTCAGGGCTGTGTTTTCCCTTGTGCAGAACGTGAACTTCTTCACCAAGCCCCCCATCGGGACCTGGGACCAGGTGGCAGAGGTGCTGAGCTGGCAATTCTCCTCCACCACGAAGCGTGGCCTCAGCATCGAGCAGCTGACAACGCTGGCAGAAAAGCTTCTAGGTAACCCGGTGTGGGAGTCCTGCCATCCCTGCTGCCCCTCAGGCTGCTCCCTGGACATGGTGTCTTTGGAAGAACAGCTCTGTCTAAATGTTGATGCTCCTGTTCTTCTCTGCCAGGGCCAGGTGTGAATTACTCTGGCTGTCAGATCACCTGGGCCAAGTTCTGCAAGGTATAATGCCCTCTCTTCCCTCAAGCGCCTTCCCTTGACTGTTCCCTTCCTCCAAGCCGTGCTCACAGCCTCTCTGCCCTCTTCCTCAGGAGAACATGGCTGGCAAAGGCTTCTCGTTCTGGGTCTGGCTGGACAACATCATTGACTTAGTGAAAAAGTACATCCTGGCGCTGTGGAACGAAGGGTGAGCCTCAGCCGGAGACCCTTGGTTGGGCTGGGCCCTGGGAGGGGTCCCACGAGTCCTGTCCTGATGGAGTGGGGTGCCTTGTCCAGGTGCAGGCGGGCTCTCCCAGGGTGCTTTTTCTGTCCGGGCCTGTTGGCTAGTTCAGGGTGAAAACCCTCCCTGGCCCTTGGGAATCCCTCAATGTTGGTGGCTCTGCCTGTGGCCAGGCCAGGCCCTGCTGCTGCCTGACGCTGGGCAGAGAGCTGGCAGGGTTCACATCCTGGCATAGCT